GGACATTTTTAGTAGGTTACTTTGTGAATATGGAATGAGAATACTTATTTGATCTTACAAAGTTTCTCAGCTGATACACCTTAAGGTGTTGGCTGCTGGTGAAGTCAGACTGGACCTTGGTTCAGCAACCTCAGTTCTTGAGTTCTAGCTAAGAAAGAATTCAGAGCCAAGATTCATGCTATAAGACAGTGATGGCAAACCTATGACACGCGAACTCATTTTTTTTGGTTGATTTTTCTTTGTTAAATGGCATTTAAATATATAAAATAAATATCAAAAATATAAGTCTTTGTTTTACTATGGTTGCAAATATCAAAAAATTTCTATATGTGACATGGCACCAGAGTTAAGTTAGGGTTTTTCAAAATGCTGACATGCCGAGCTCAAAAGGTTCGCCATCACTGCTATAAGAGAAAGTTTTTTTAGAAGTCACAGACGTAGAAGAAGTGAGCAGAAGAAGAAATAGCCTCAGGAAACAAGTTACAGAGAAAAAAAGGAGCTCTTGGAGCTTAGGAGAGAGAAGGGTAAAGGCAATGCACCTGGGGGGACACAGGCGGGGGAGGGGAAAGGATATGCTCTTGAGAGGGCGATCACTTTTAAGCAGCGGTTCTCAACCTGTGGGGCGCGACCCCTTTGGGGGTCAAACGACCCTTTCACAGGGGTCGCCTAAGACCATCGGAAAACACATATATAATTACATATTGTTTTTGTGATTAATCACTATGCTTTAATTATGTTCAATTTGTAACAATGAAAATACATCCTGCATATCAGATATTTACATTACGACTCATAACAGTAGCAAAATTACAGTTATGAAGTAGCAACGAAAATAATTTTATGGTTGGGGGTCACCACCACATGAGGAACTGTATTAAAGGGTCGTGGCATTAGGAAGGTTGAGAACCACTGCTTTTAAGGGTAACTTTTAGGGCGCTGGTCTCTAGTGATTGGTCCGCACAGGGGGTGTGGCGGTGGGGGAGTGTTGGGGGAATCATTAGTCATCACAGCTGGTCCCAAGGTCAGCCATAGCATCGCTTGTCTGGTTTTGCTGTTCTTCTAGGCTTGGAGCTGAAGCACAAACCGAGGTCTAAATGTATTTGATGTGGGTGAGAACCTCATTGTCCTGGAGGTTTAATGTTTAAGAGCTATTCTTTGCGCCCCCCTCCCCCCGCCCTTGTTCATTTAAGGGACTAGCAACGTGACAGGGGAGGAAAGGTCAGGAGACCGTCTGAACCCCGCATGGCCAGCAATATGAAAGGTCAAGGGGGTCTAAATCGAACACCCAGTGATATGCTAGGGCAAGAAAGGTTACTCTGGAGACGAGGTCCTTGTTTTCCCAGCTTTGCCTGTTGCTAGGCCCCCTGGGGCTTTCTGCCCAGTGACCTTCTGTGCCTGGCCCGTCATCCTTGCTCTGCTCAAGTCTGTCTGTTTACTACAAAGGAAGGAATGTCCTTGTCAGAGTTGGCCTCTCCAACCCTTCCCAAACCTCTTCCTTTTTTGAACAAAAAGGAACCACATACTAAACCTGACAAGCTCAGGGAAGGCCTGCATGGCTGCTTTACAAACTCAGAGACCTAAAGTAACCACATAGGATGGTCTGAAATGAGAACTTTTTTTAAATCCCCACCCGAGGATACTTATTCCATTGATTTTTACAGAGAGTAGAAGGGAGGAAGGAGGGGTAGAGAAACATTGATGTGAGAGACACATCGATTGGTTGCCTCCCGAACACACCCGGACCAGGGCCAGGGATTGGACCGCAACCAAGGTATGTGCCCTTGACGGAGAATTGAACCCGAGACCCTTCAGTACATAGGCCGATGCGATGCTCTAACCACTGAGACACCAGCCAGGGCTGAAATGAAAACTTTACAAATAAAAGCAGTTTATGGTATCTTTTTGCATCTACTGAAACATACCTTTGGAATGGCTGAGTAACTTCCCTTTTTCCAGACCTCTCAGGCACAACCAATGCACCAGGGTAGAGACCACAAATCCTCTCATTGTTATTGTTATCGTGTTAATTGTTGACTGTTAACTATCCTATACCCACCTATATAAAAGAAGTATGTGTCTACCATTTACTTTTCACCCAATCCCGGAGGGATTCTCTCTTTGCTTTCTCCTGCCTCCCTAATCTAATGGATTTCATGTAACCCACTTATGTCTTCTCTTTTGACTGTAATGTATAAAATAAAATGCAATACTTCCATTCTCTAGACCATTTTCTCAATCCGTTGAGATTTTGCTTCCCAGCAATTGTTTATAATTTGGCTCAATAAACTCACAAAATCCTCTACAGGTTTGAATTTTGTTTGTTTGTTAATCCTCACCCGAGGATATTTTTCCATTGATTTTTGTTGTTGTTGTTGCCTCCCCGCAATGTGCCCAGACCAGGACGGACCGGGATTGATACTGCAACTGAGGATCCTGCAACCGAGATATGTGCCCTTGATCTGAATGGAACCTGAAGCCCTTCAGTATGCAGGCTGACGCTCTATCCACTGAGCAAAACTGGCTAGGGTTCTCTACAGGTTTGAATGTTTCTTACATTGACACTTTCCCCCAAAGGAGTGCAGTGTAACTCTTGTTTTTTAAATTGCAATCCCGGTACAATTCATCCTGAGATTCTACCCAGGACAGCCTGGTTGAGTTTTGATGGTTTCCAAATTCCCACAGAATTGCAGTCATCTGTTGCTTTTCACTAGTTTAACTCTTAGAAGGAAATCTCATTGCCAGGTGTCTGAGAAACACTTCATTGGAACCACCCTGTATTGCCAGTAGCTATCAGATGGCAAGTAGCCTGAGGATTTGCCCTAGCCCGTTTGGCTCTGGATAGAGTGTCAGCCTGTGTACTGAAGGGTCCTGGTTCAATTCTGGTCATGCCCCGGTCCGCCCCAGGAGGCAGCCAATCAATGATTCTCTCTCATCATTGATGTTTCTCTCTTTCACTCTCCCTTCCTCTCTGAAATCAATAAAAATATATTTAAATAATAATAAAAATGTAAAGCCAAAGGATTTGGCAGTCAACACATTGCGGACGGATCACGAGAATTCTCACTTCATATTCCACAGTGTTTTACAAAGTATCGTACTTTAAAAAGATATTAGCTTTTAAGAACATGTAATAAATAACTTCAAAATGCAGTGGGTATTTAATTTTAAAGCGTGCCTTTAACATTTATGTAAAACGTTGTACTCGTTCAATAGAAACTTATCTGGCCACTGGGTAAAGCTAGCAATAAAACGACTGGTCCTAGTCCGCAATGTGTTAAGAAACCATGGGCAGAGTTTGGCGCCAGCAGTTTCAGCAAAGTTGTGGGGACGAC